TTAAGTGAGTATTGGGTAAATGACAGCATCAATTATCTATCTCCTTTTTAACCAGTGAAATTTAAGGAGAAAGAAGATGGTAGAGTGAACAATGAAGAAAGAATAAAAATGCATTAGAGTCAAACTAGACCATGAAAGAGAAATAAAAAGGGGGAGAAACTGTGAATTGAGTGAATAAAACAAAGTGAAAGAAAAATTGGCATAAGTACCACCTTGAACTTTCTGTGGTGAGTTTAACTCCTATTGTGGTACAAATTCTGAAATTTCTTGTAACTCACATATAGGAAGGGCAAACTACTGTTTTTAACAAGGCCAACAACAGGGTTGATGGAAGATCACCCAGCAATTTATAATGATTCACGACTCACATCACATCTTTTCATTGTCACCCAGCACTCAGTGATAGTGGAATTCACTGTGAACTCACCATTGTGTGTCAAGGCAAATAGTGTAGTCAGTGCTAGGTATGACGGCCAATCTTTACCTGCACTCACCTGTGCTGTCATCAGATTTGTTTTCAAAAAATGTACTTTGTTCACAACATTTGTTAATATAAAATGCAAGACCATTTCAACTTCACTCTTATTGAATTTGGAGTAATATTCAACTTGTTCTCATACATCATGTTCCACAGAATTTGATTTTGAGGGACTTGATATTTACAAAATGCATTCCAAGTCAGGTGTACATTCCAAGGGTGGAAACAATTCCAATTAGAAATTGTGCAAAAAGTATGAAGATTTCTTCTATTATACTCTGATGTGCCTCGAAACATTCCCAATCTTTTTGTTTTAGGATCCATATTCTTTCTGAGATAGAGAGCCCACTGGATTCTATAGTTTCCAGTCTCTCTATACACTATGATCGAGAATCTGAGACATCTGCCTTTCCATTGTGCATCTTTAATGGCTGTTCCAAGCTTCAAAACGTCCCTTAGCATGTAGCCCTGGACATTGGAACGTGACAGTCTGCAACACTTGGATGAAGACCAGCAAGTTTCAGGCAGACTAAAGAGTGTCTTCCAATGAGTTGATGGTTCTGGAGCTGCAGTTGATGTTTGACTTGGTGGTCCTCCATGAGAACAACCCGTAGAGCATGTCACAAAGAGTGCTTGGGATGAACCTCACCCAAAACCACTGCACCTCTCTCCAAATCGTCTGTGCAGTGGTAAATAGAGGTGAGACACAGAGGTGGACAACAGTTTCTTCCTAAACTTGAAGGCAGTGTGCAGAGGATGTGAGAATCTGGGCATGTAAGGACTATCTAATGGGAATGACCTTTCCCATCTCCACCAATATATATCTTGGTGCTTGTTTACAAATTCTGCCACAAGACTTTGTTGGAGGGGTAGTTACCATGACAGGATGTAAATTTCCCAAGACATACCGTATTGTGAGAAAGCACCTTTTCAGTGATCTGAGCCAGGATGTTAATGGAAATTGGCTCATCTGTCACTTCCACTTGCTTCCGAGGACCAATTCTCAGAGGCAGGAGAAAAGTAGGAGGGTGAATCAGCTCTGGCATCCCATGAATCAATTTGATTACAAGCTATGAATGAAAGCTTCTTGGGTAAGGTGGAGACTCCTTAAGGTAGGAGCCATTGGAACGCTGTTACAGGAAAGGAGTCCTAAAGCTTCAGTGGGGGGGGGGGGGGGGACAACAAGAAAAGAAGGGTCCTGACCTGAAACGTCGACTTTCCTACTCCTCTGATGCTGCCTGACCTGCTGTGTTCCTCCAGCTCCACACTGCGTTGTCTCTGCATTGAAGTCTATTTGGATTTGCATAGAAGTGATTTTCATTCATGTCAGCAAAGGGGATTGTGTCCTTTAAATAGACAGAATATACTGTTGTATTTGAGAGAGAGAGAGTTATTTACTTGCGTTTCTTAGTCCAGCATCTTAAATCTAGCAGGGTGGCCCTCAGCCGTGTTATTTCTCTCCAACAATGGACTGGCTTCTGGGAACAAGAAGCATTGAGTGATTTTCTCTTTAAAAATTCATGACTATTAGATGGTGTGAATTAACAGTTGTATTGCAGTGGGCAAGTGGGAAAATTACAACTGGAGTCAGCTGCAGGACAATTGGATTCTGCTTCGCTTAGCTGTGGGGAATATTTTTAACAGAGGAATTGAGAAACATACTGTCTGCTTGTCTCTCACTTTACCCCTTCCTCTCTTGATCCTTTGATCACCTGCCTTTGCTGACAGTGCATCAAGTGCTTTCCATTGTCACCACGACTGTCCAAATGATTACGTTAGTTGCTAAGTTATTGTGTGTCAATCTCTGTTTACCATTACTCTTGCTACAGTTGAAAGGTAACTTGCCCGATGCCTTTGCTGTAAAAAAAATCAATGTGATTATGTGTATTGGGAGACTGCACTGATATAATTCTTTTCTGTGCCATTTAAGGGTTTGTTTTGTTTTTAAGGAGAAATAATCATCCTATTAACATGAGATGTTTTTTCAACGTCATGTAAGGTTAATTTTGTCAGCAGCGGGAGTAAAGTATTCAACACTAAGCCACCTTTTGTTTCTCACCTAAGCAGTGAACTCCTGTTCAGTCTCTACTCTTCTGATCCCAGGCCCTTCAACTTGGCCTGTCACAGCTTGCAACTGTGCTGCAGGGATGCCTGGAAAGGGCAAGGACCGAGTCCAAAGTCTGGGTGAAAAGTGAGCTCAGAGAGTTTGAGAAACGGGAGTGCTGCCAGTTTGATGGTTAGGTTGGGGAGTCATGCGCAAGAGATCAGACCAGATGCCATGGTCCTGCTGTTAATGATGGCGAGGAAGGGGTAAAGTTTTTGTCTGAAGTGGGAAGAAATTAAAGAACTGTGGTCAATTGCTGGATTATCAGTTTAGAGATTTGCCTAATGCTGATCATGTGACTGATATCACGTGGTTAAAGTGACGAATCAGCATTTATAGAATTAAAGGAAGGAAACAATCAATTTAATTCGGCTAACCTTCATTTCAGCACTAATCCTTATTTACACAAACTTCCTCTGACCCCATGTTCCTTTGTGCCATGCCTTTAACAATCTAACCTATACTTAAATGTTGACATGATTTTCAATCAGCAACTTTAGTAGTACATTTTTCAACCTCACAACCCACGAAATGGTCTCTCCTGTGGCCAAAATTTCAGGTCTAATCTCATTTATGTCCTTTAATTTTAGACCCCTAAACAACTGAAAACAGTGTGTTTCTATCTTTTCTTTCCCATCGCTTCAACACTTCATGTTTATAATATCTTAATCTCATGTCACAGTGAAACAATGGTAATGAGTCCAGAGAAAGTCTGTAATTATTCATAATGATTTCTCAAGATGAACACATGTATGTCATGACACTAATACCTACTGGAATGCTCTTGTCTTTTTTTTTCAAAAAGTTTGCATATTATTGTTGCCAGGTTATTAGTGAATGATACTCTTGCTTCTTCAAGACTACTTCAAGGTTGTTTTTACCTTGATTATTGCTTTATTCAAATGTGGTTAAACAACTGTCATAGACTGTAATAGACACTCAAAATGACCTCTGGCCATTTTTAAATGAGCCAGCAAAGTGGTTACTCAGATGACAGGGATTAGTGGATAATTCTTGTTAACAGGAACTATGGGTGGTTACTTTATCCGAACCCAATGAGGTTGAGGTCAGAAATGGATGAGAGCTAATAACACAACACAAAACCGATCTGAGGTATTGGGTGGATCATGGAGGGTGTATTGCCAACCTGATGGTTTGGGTGTCGGCTTAAACTTTTATTTCTCATAATTGCATTGATTGAAATTCAGTGAAACCTTACCCTCAAAGTCTGGTTAACCCTTTACCTTCCCATTTCTAATTTTGGGATGGTAAGTTCTATGAACCGATATGCCTTCTTTATCTTTCCTGAATGCTGACCTCCGCAGCCCTGTTGACCTCCTATATATAATTCAAGTGGATACAGATGTGTTCAACATACTGAACAATAGGAGCACCTTTACCTTGACCATAGGTTTGCTTCTTTTTACATTTTCAATGCATCTGCAGGTATGAGAACCACAGATTTGAGATTGGAGGTGATCTTCTAATATCAAAGGACCTCACAACTATAGATTTTTCATGAGATGTTGCAGAGTTCCTTTGTGGACCAAAGAAGAGGACGGCTTGAAAAGGTGATCTTTTTTCAGATCTGTGTGAGGATTCAGATCATCCTGATAGTATCCACGCTTGTCTACATTCTCCTACCAAAGGACTGATTCCATTAAAATTGTTATAATGCTCATGGAGATCAATAACTTCCTAATGGATGAATTTCAGAGAATCTGATGGAAAGGACGAGGTTTCCCAATTTAACAGTTCAGTTGTAACAAACTGAAATCAATGTAGATCAGATATCACTTAACAATTAATGTACCAAATGAAGGAAAATATACTCACATTGACTAATTAATGAGGTGTATATTACAGCTTATCTATCTGTGCACTGCGCTTTTGGCAGACGTCCTAGGTTACTCCCAGCTTTCCAGCACGCTGACTTCTCCCTGTCATGCCAGGTTGAACGTTCATAGAATCCCTACAGTATGGAAACAGACCATTTGGCCCACCAAGTCCACACTGCCCCTCCGAAGAGCATCCCACTCAGACCCATTTTCCTATGCTGTATTTACCACGTCTAACCCACCTAACCTAGACATCCCTGGGCACTATTAACAATTTAACATAGCCAATCCACCTACCCTGCACATCTTTAGACTGTGGGAGGAAACTGGAGCGCCTAGAGGAAACCCATGCAGACATGCGGAGAATGTGCAAACTCTACACAGGCAGTTGTGTGAGGTTGGAATTGAACCTGGGTCCTTGGTGCTGTGAGGCAGCTGTGCTAACCACTGAGCCACTATGCTCCCCCACCCCGATTGAAAAAATTCCAATGCAACATCACCCGACCAACATGTCAGTGTAACAGATTTCAGACAATAATGGAAGGAAGTATGCGGTGAGAAGGAGCAGAAAGGAACAATATGCGTTGGCCGGGAATTGAACCCAGGCCTCCTGCATGGTGGGCGGGAATTCTACCGTTGAACCACCAATGCAAGCAGCACTTCCAGTGTCCTTCAGGAAATCATTCCACCCAACCAGTTTTGCCGAATTGACTTTCGATAGCTGGGCCCAACTTGGTAAAATCTCAGTTCTTTAATTCTCCAAGCGTCGTGTCAGCCTTGTCCCCTTCCTTTTAACCAGACAACCAGTTTTTTACAATTGTTCTGTTTAATTGTTAATGCAAAATAGTTCGCCTAGGTCTTCACAGCAGTAGCTGCTTTCTTCCTCTCTTTCTTAGCCCATCTGCGCATGTCTCCCAACAGCGTGTCGTCCCTCTTTCAAGGTGTGAAGACTCTACATTGCTTTTTAGTAAATTTTGGTTTTGATGTCTTTCCCCAAATTAACCAGACAAAGAGGACTCATTTGCAGTGAGATATCTAGTATGACCATCATTCGTGTCCAGGACATGCTATTTTACCTTCGATTTAAAGGAGAAATTTTATGATATAACCACAAAAACGATTTGGCTTTGAGAAAAAAAAATACAGATTGGATAGCATACCTGCCCTCTCCATGTTGCATGATTTCCTGCTTTTCCATGTCCACCTTGCTCCCCTCAAAAGACAGCACTGGGGACTCATTTACACCCAGGTGGTAGACAGTCAACATCATTCCGACATTTTTAAGAAAAACTTCAGTTTCTATTCAACACAGCTTAACACCTCATCTTGAGCAGAAGAACCAAGATCAGGAACTCATCAAGGCAAAATTTACAGTAATAGGTTTGTTCTGTACTCTGCCACTTCTATTCCCAAGACTCATTCTGCTCTAAGTTAATACCATCTCCACACTTCTGTACTAGTCTGATGACCATTGTTCCTTCTCTTTTTCTCTCTCTGTACTGTAAAGGTTAACACAGTGAGCCGATTAGCTCGAGATTTCATCGTCCTTACTTACTGTTTGTTACATTTCATCTGTAATCCCATCACATCCCCTTGTTGACTGTTACTATGTACTGTATTTACCAGGAGCAGTATTGGTTTGGCTGCCATCCACATTGTCTAAATGTAAGACTTTCTGTGCAGCACTTGCCGATAATGATTGATTTTTTTTACTTTTCTGGTTGGACACAATACTCTAGGTTTCAATCTCAGATCAGCAGAACTAGAAGAATCTTATCCAATAACAAAGTAGCTTTTAGAGAGACTTGATCTTCATTTGGTTCCCTCCCCTCAAAACTCACCTCCACATTTTCTGAATCTGACCCAAGGCCAGGGATTTTCATTCAGACATTGTATTTTCATGTTAGATTTTCTCTTTCAAATGAACAACCCTGTATAGTATCAGAGATAGTAGGAACTGCAGATGCTGGAGAATCTGAGATAACAAGGTGTAGAGCTGGATGAACACAGCAGGCCAAGCAGCATCATAGGAGCAGGAAGGCTGACGTTTCGGGCCTAGACCCTTCATCAGAAAATCAGTAATAGATTTGTTCTGTACTCTGCCACTTCTATTCCCAAGACTCATTCTGCTTTAAGTTAATACCATCTCCACACTTTTGTACTAGTCTGATGACCATTGTTCCTTCTCTTTTTCTCTCTCCGTACTCTGTACTTTCTGATGAAGGGTCCAGGCCCGAAACATCAGCCTTCCTGCTCCTATGATGCTGCTTGGCCTGCTGTGTTCATCCAGCTATCCACCTTGTTAACCCTGTATAGTATTTTCCTTGGTGCTTGTACATTTAGTTATCATAAACTTTTATTGGTTAACCTGCAGGGGCGACACTGAGTTGCTTCAGTGTCAGCAGGCAGAAATGTACAGTAATACAACAAGTGCTGTAGGCCACCACAAACATCAGTAATAATTATCTGTGCACAGTGCAGCGATGGTGCAAATAATAATTAAGTAATTACAATGGTAAGCTAATTTATTGATCCCCTTTATCAGGTTGCAGAAGGTTTTAAGGAGGCCACATGTACCTTGTCACAACCACCTGGACACTGATAATGCCGGGGGACTATCTGTGACCCGTGGATCCTGCTTGGGTCATGCAGAATCCTGACAATGTGGAAGCAGGACACTCGGTCCATCAAGTCCACACCCACCCTCCAAAGAGCATCCCACCCAGACCTCCCCCACCCCAGTCTATCCCGGTCACCCTGCATTCCCAATGGCTAAGCCTGTATATTCTTGGACACTATGGGCAATTTGGAATGGCCAATCCACCTAGCCTGTACATCTTCGGACTATGGGAGGAAACCGGAGCACCCGGAGGAAACCCACGCAGACCCAGGGAGAACATGCAAACTCCATACAGACAGTCACCCAAGGGTGGAATCAAACTGGGATCTCTGGCGCTGTGAGGTAACAGTGCTAACCACTGAGCCACTGTGCACCCTGTTACTTGACCCTTAACTTCCTGTTTTGGTGAGGTCCATAAGAACATTCTGTAACTTAGCTGCCCTCCTCTGCAAATGGAATCGAAAACTAACAAGAATATGGGAGCTGTTTAATTTCAGCTATTTGGGTCGATTTCACCTTCAACGGCTATGCAGAACCCGATACCTACCCTTTTAGAAACTCCAGCCAGCTGTTTAAATCCAGTCGAGATGGCACACTGAGCTTCGTTATAATGTCTTCCACAAAATCTGGCACTTACAACAGCGTGGCACTCCATAATTGCACTCGGTTGCTGGGTTACTGTATCTGCTCAAGGCTCGAGGACAGGTGTTAAGCTCGCAGTCTTTCCATCTGAGTCTACTTTGGCTCAGTGGTAGCAATCTTGCTGTTGGGTCAAAGGGAGACAGCTGTCCATGTTTAACTAGTGTGCCAAGAGGAGCTGGATGTGATAGCAGGCTCTTTGCTCACCTGTTAGGTGAATCTGCAATGCAATGTGGACTTCACAAGCTTCAAAATCACCCCTCTCCTTATCGCATCCCAAAACCAGTCCAGCTCATCCCCGCCTCCCTAACCTGCTCTTCCTCCCACCTATCCACTCCTCCCACCTCAAGCCTCACCCCCATCTCCTACCTACTATCCTCATCCTGCCCCCTTGACCTGTCCATCCTCCCTGGACTGACCTATCCCCTTCCTAACTCCCCACCTACACTCACCTTTACTGGCTCCATCCCCGCCTCTTTGACCTGTCTGTCTCCTCTCCACCTACCTTCTCCTCTATCCATCTTCTATCCGCCTCCCCCTCTCTCCCTATTTATTTCAGAACCCCCTTCCCCTCCCCCATTTCTGAAGAAGGGTCTCGGCCCGAAACGTCAGCCTTCCTGCTCCTCTGATGCTGCTTGGCCTGCTGTGTTCATCCAGCTCTGCACCTTGGTATCTCAGATTCTCCAGCATCTGCAGTTCCTACTATCTCTGCAGTGTTATTGTCTGATTCGATGTTGGGTTATTTGCATTTAGGATTTCAGCTGACAGCAGGAGAGCAGGGCATTTGTCATCTGTAATATGAAAGCACCTTAAGCGCTTCAAGAACAAAACAACCCGGCAGCTGGTAGATGGGATTTATCTTGCTCTTCGCTACTTGGAGCTCCCTGTTTTCTCACCATTCATGTACCTGATACTTTGTCACCTGTGCCCAGTTTTCCCCTCTGTAATTGGCTAGCTGTAATCAGTTGAAGTCTGTTCTGTTCCTTTCTAGACTTCATTTCCACCAATTAAGTCTTAAAATTGATATTTCTGGGAAGCAGAAGTTTGAAAATATGCACGGTTCAGCACATTCAGAGACCTAATTCACTGAGAGATGGAAATGGTTTGGAACTGGGCACTCTGCTTTCTAGCAGTGAATGTCTGATTACTTTGATGAGCAAAAATAAATCAGCAGAAGTTTAATGCTCATTTGCTTTACTTCAATCCAATTCTCCTGAATGAATCAACTAGATTGAGATTCTGAGTCCAGCTCAAAAAGAAACATTTTATGTCTCTTTATGTGTCTGACACAAGGTCTTTCCTACACTTGAGATTATTCCACAGTTGCATTCAATAGGTATTTCAAAAAAAAAATACAACTCTGATATGAATTTGAGGTATGGTTACTGTTGTAATACAAGAATATATAGCAAAATTTGCACTCAGCACAGCCCCAAAAGCAGCAACGGAATCATTGGCCAGGTAATCCGCTTTCAATGACGTTATATGGAATCATTGTAAGAAAAATGAAATGTATGTCCATCCAGCCTGTCCAGGAGACTGCCCTGATTAACATACGCAGCTACTTCTCTTGCAAAAGGTGTTTTGTACCTCAGCCAGAAAGAAATCCAACTCTTACTTGAAGAAACTCAATGTATCCACTGATGCTTGACTCATAACTGTTAGCTGAGAGACAATGAATTGCCAAGGCAACAGAGGCAGCTCCTTATCGCACCCCCCATAGTCAACTCTCTAAATAAACCAAAGTCCAACCTAGTCAGGCTAAAGGTGATGAACCTATTGGGCAGCTGTATTTTTCCAGCACTGGTGTTGATGAACATTCCAGTCGTTTTGCAAACAAACCTTTCCAAACCGCTGGCTAGACCTCAGCTGGAGCATGGTGTCCAATTCTGGGCACTTTAAGAATAGGGTGTAGATGAGATTCACCACTTTGGTACTACGGACTTCTGTGGGCATACTGAAGAAGCTGGGATTATTGTTGTTTGAACAGAGAATGTTTATGGGAGAATGGATTTGAGGTGTTTTAAATTGAGGGAGTTTGGGTAAGAACATTGAGAGGAAAAAATTGGATATTTCCATTGGCAGGAGGATCAGTAACAAGAAAACATAGATTCAAGATAATTGCTAAAAGAAAGAGGCAAATGAAGAGAAAATGTTTGTTCAACAAGTTACCATGACCTGACTATACTGTCTAAAAGGATGGTGTACTCCGATGTATTAGTCACTTTCAGAAGGGAACTTATGTTCAAAAGAAATAAAAAACAATGTTGTTATGGGCTAAGAGCAGATGAGCAGGACCAATTGGAGGGCTCTTCCTAAAACTAGAATGGACATGATGAGCCAAATGGCCTCCTATAGTGTATAATTTGATGGCTTGTTTTCCTTATCTGAC